AAAAAAAAAAAAAAAGTCGAAATAAACAGGCCAATGATGCAAAAAAATATATATATTTTTTTTATGCCATGAATTATGGTGATTTTAAAGGCAGAAATGGTTTGCATGACAGGTTCAAAACAAAACCAAGTCTAGACTTCAGAAGAATATGTGGAAACAGAAGTATGGAAGAAAAATACTACGATGTACTAGTACGCCATCTGTTATGAAAATTAGAAACTATTTTAGACGAGTAAGATTCTCTTACGAGTAAGAAAAAATGCAATATAACAGCGGTATGATAGATTAAACTGGCGAAACCGCTTGGAGTGTTCACCACTGATGAGCCAGGCCCTCCCATTAATTTTTCCATTGCAGTAAGGGCAGTTAAAATTGTTTAATTTCAAAAAGAATTTTACACGTCTAAAATAGTTTCTAATTTTCATAAGAAAAACACTAATTAACTTTATATAAAAGGGGTAATGCTCAAAGATTGGTTTCAAACAACAAGGTATTAGGTACAATTTTTCAAATAAACTTTGTATTATATAATATGACAAAGATGTTTTAAAATAATTTTATATATTTTATTATATAATTTTAATAAAGCTTTGCCTAGGATATTTGTCTTGATTTTTAAATTATACTTCTGCTTCTTCTACTGCTTCTGCTTACAAACCTATACAAAACCGGCCAGCCACTCCACAATATACAGTAAAATCCCGCAAATACGAATCCGGGATATAGCGAATCTTCCCTTATAACGAACCTACGGCAATTCCCAATTCCATTGAAAATACCACCATTATAACAAACTTTGCGATTTTTAAAATAACGAAATACCCCTATAACAAACCTAATTTGGGTCCTAAAATAATAAAATCTATTTAAAATACTAGGCTTATATCAACAACAACAACAGCTTTATTAGGACATTTGCGTCATGTAAGGACTCGCCATACATCATTTTCATGGAGAAAAGGATACTAGGCTTATATAACAGACTTAAAATTGTTATTAATAGATTTTAAAATAACAAAATTTTGAGCATGTTTCAGCTTACATATCGCGATTTCAAAACAATAAATTTAGTGGTATTGTTTGTTTATATTTACGTTATTTTTTTGCTGCGTGTTATTTAAAAAAATGTATAGGCATACTTTTTATTAAATAGAATAGCTTTGCATTAAAAATGGCTGACCATTGGCCAATTATCCCGTAAACAAAGACTATTTTTTTTTTTTAATTTGAAACATAAAAAAAAAAATGCAAATAAAAAGGGGTTCTTTAAAAAAAAAAGGCTATTGCTAAAAGAAAAAGCCATTATCAAAGATTTTCAAAGTGAAACAACGCAGGCACAAAATTGCAGAACGTGTTAAAAAAAGAAAATTCTATTACAATATATAAAATAGAAAGATTGTTTATATTTACGTTCTTTTTTTTTTGCTGCTTGTTATTTAAAAAAATGTATAGGCATACTTTTTATTAAATAGAATAGCTTTGCATTAAAAATGGCTGACCATTGGCCAATTATCCCGTAAACAAAGACTATTACAATATATAAAATAGAAAGATATTAAAAATTACTACAAAGAAGAATCAACCCTAACTTTTGCCTCGATCGTACGTGTAAGCTTGCCCTTTGTTCTTTATCTGAAGAGAGAGCTAGTTTAACCTAGGCTCTCTAAAAAAAAAAAGTCCAAATAAACAGGCCAATGATGCAACAAAACTTTTTTTTTATGCCATGAACTATAGTGATTATAAAGGCAGAAATGGTTTGCATGACAGGTTTAAAACAAAACGAAGTCTAGACTTCAGAAGAATATGTGGAAGCAGGAGTATGGAAGAAAATACTACGATGTACTAGCACGCAATCTGTTATGAAAATTAGAAACTATTTTAGACGTGTAAGATTATTTTTGAAATTAAACAATTTCTAAAGAAAAAATGCAATATAACAGCGGTATGATAGATTAAACTGGCGAAACCGCTGGGAGGGTTCACCACTGATGAGCCAGGCCCTCCCATTAATTTTTCCATTGCAGTAAGGGCAGTAGAAATTGTTTAATTTTAAAAAGAATATTACACGTCTAAAATAGTTTCTAATTTTCATAAAATACTAATTAAATTTATTTAAAAGGGGCAATTCTCAAAGATTTGTTTCAAACAACAAGGTATTAGAGACAATTTTTCAAATAAACTTTGTATTATATAATGTGATAAAGATGTTTTAAAATAATTTTATATATTTTACTATATAATTTTAATAAAGCTTTGTTAAGGATTTGTCTTGATTTTTGAATTAGAAATAGAGGTACATGTGTATGCTAATGATAAGAAGAACCTATCATCGAATCACTTCTTTTATTATTCAGCATTAATGCAATGAAATGGGTCAATTTAGCGATTTAAAACAAAGTGATCATTATTAAAAGGTAACCATTTCTGCTTTTATGACTGTCCTTTAATTATAGTACAGACTGTGCACTTTTGGATGTATTGACAAGATGTCAATACAATTATTTTAATTGTCAATTGTCTAAAATTTTTGATAAGTAAAAGAAATGGCCAAAATCGTGGCTATAATGAACCAAAAGTTCAGTGCCATTGGGGTTCACTATAGAAGGTTTTTTTTTACTGTACTTTAGTCATGATGGTTGTCAAACAGACACCATCAAGGGTCACAACTTGATATCCTAATATGAATAAGAAAGAAGAAGACTCATCCCCAGAAGACACCATCAAAAAGCTCTACAAGCTTTGATAACCTAATATGATTGAGTGGAGATAAGAAAGAAGAAGACTCATTCCCAGCAGACACCATCAATAAGCTCTACAAGCTTGATACCTTAATATGATTGAGTGGAGATAAGAAAGAAGAAGACATCCCCAGCAGACACCATCAATAAGCTCTACAAGCTTGGTACCCTAATATGATTGAGTGGAGATAAGAAAGAAGACTCATCCCCAGCAGACACCATCAACAAGCTCTACAAGCTTGATACCTTAATATGATTGAGTGGGGATAAGAAAGAAGAAGACATCCCCAGCAGACACCATTAACAAGCTCTATAAGCTTGATACCCTAATATGATTGAGTGGAGATAAGAAATAAGAAGACTGTACTTTAGAAAATTCTCAGAATTCACATCTTTATGTTTCCAAAACTTTTTGTGAATCCACCTCAACAAGGTTGACAGGACTTCGGTAAAACGGATGTTTCCAGAATCTCTAACCACGACCCAAGTTCGCACTGTCAAGAAGAAAACCAAACTGTTGCTTGCTTTTGATAAGTATAATTGGCCAAAAATAGTATGTTCCATCTTGCAATTAGATCAATCAAGCAAACCGAACGCAAAACACTGGTGCAAATATCCCAGGCTAGCCACCAAGGAAAGATGAGTAGGGCAAGGGGAAAACTATCAATCATCTCTTCAGATGATCCTATTGACATCCTGAGAGATTCCAGACCGCAATTCTCCTCGGTTGTCAACTTCCTTAAAGACAAATGGGTCGGGTGACATTTGATCAGCTGGATGTCTACCCTAACGAGACAAGAGGTTTGAAGACTGACCCGGACAATTGGCGACTTCTGTACGTGGGTTCAGAAATCCGGGTTACCCACAGGTACTGTTTAACGTCAAAGGATTGAACGCAAAGACATTAAGGAACTTCCTTGAAGACAACTGGGTTGAGTGACATCTAAGCAGCTGGATGACCACCGTAACAACGAGACACTAAGTCTGAAGTAGTTAGCGACTTCTGTACGTGGCTACAGGAGTCCGGGTTACCCACAGGTACTGTTTAACGTCAACGGATTGAATGCAAAGACATTAAGGAACTTCCTTAAAGACAACTGGCTCGGGTGACATCTGATCAGCTGGATGCCCACCGTAACAACGAGACACTAAGTCTGAAGTAGTTAGCGACTTCTGTACGTGGCTACAGGAGTCCGGGTTACCCACAGGTACTGTTTAACGTCAACGGATTGAATGCAAAGACATTAAGGAACTTCCTTAAAGACAACTGGCTCGGGTGACATCTGATCAGCTGGATGACCACCGTAACAACGAGACACTAAGTCTGAAGTAGTTAGCGACTTCTGTACGTGGCTACAGGAGTCCGGGTTACCCACAGGTACTGTTTAACGTCAACGGATTGAATGCAAAGACATTAAGGAACTTCCTTAAAGACAAATGGGTCAGGTGACATCTAAGCAGTTGGATGTCTACCGTAACGAGACAAGAAGTTTGAAGACCAACCCGGACAGTGTGTGTTGGCGACTTCTGTACATGGGTTCAGGAGTTCGGGTTACGCACAACAGATTGAACAGATATAAACAAATGCGGCGCTGATTTTGTTTATACAAAAATGTAATGCCTTGATAAAGGTTTGGCGTTTCAGCCAACTGAAATTTTGGCAAATAAATCTTTTATTAAATCCAATATATGCCTTTTTATTATCTAACTTATATATATATATAAAATAAAAGTATTTTAGAGAAATCGATGAAGATATTTAAGGAAACGGTGTGCATAAGCATTCTGGATTATTAAGTTCTAAAGAAATTAAAAAAACAGGATGCACTGGTCAGTAAGAGAATGCTATAAGACCTTATTAACCTATGACCGTAATTATAATATACAGAGAGGAGGCCCTGGAGTGGATTCGTCACCTCGACATTCCACTCTAGAGAAACTTGCCAACATTGTTGTATTGTGCTGTAAAAAACAATATCATACGCAATATATATATATAATATACAGTTAAACCTGTCTAGGCGCCCCCTCTTGGGACTCACCAAAATAGGGTGCTATAGAGAAGGGGTGCTATAGACAGGTCACTTTTAATGTAAATCGCATCGTACTACGTATTCAAAATCGGACGCTATAGAGAGGGAGGCGCTATAGACAGGTTTAACTATATATTCCTCATTTTATACATTTGAAGATATACACGACATGAAAAATAACTGTTTATATATAAATAGTATTTAGATATTTTATATAGGATGTTAATACGGTGAAATAGCTCAGCTGTGAAAGATTTTAGACTCAGGATCTATGTCCTTGGTTAGAAACCGCGTTTCGCCATCTTTTGACAAGTAGTCAAAAATAAGAAACTAGGAAAACAGCCTATTTCACAGAAGAATAAACATCCGAAATCCAAGATCCCACCACATCACAAGGCCCCAACCTTGTAAATATGTAAATATAATGTAAATGTGATGTACATATTATCTTCCACTGTAAATATCATAAGCTATGTTGTTGGCTATTTTTGAGTGGTACCTAATAAAGTTACTTTTGAACTGGAACTGAAGATGTCACATTTTATTTATTGCTCATTTTAAACTTTTTTTTAAATACATAAAAACATGTAAACCTTTATTAAAACTTGTACAATGATTCGTCATGGAACCTGCAAAGAGAAAAATATATATATTTAATGATAATAATGCAATAATATATACGTAAAAAGCCTAATTGACAATTAGTGTAATACGTCGATATTTGTTGTCCAAGGAAATAAAATGGGGTAAATATAAAATAAATGAATGCTTTTTTTTTATTATTTTAGGTGATTAAACTGGCCAAAAAATGCTGGGAAAGTTGACCACTGAAATGCCGGCCCTTCTATGCGTTTCCTTATTGTTAAAAGAGTAAGGTTTTAACCATATAAAAAAAGCCAGTGTCAAAAACTTGCAATTTTATAACGCCTTAGAATCTTATGGATATAGCTAACATATTTAATATCTTAAATAATTTTAAAAACGTTATATTGAGATGAACCGGTTAAATTGAGGGAAAACAACACACACATGCTAAAAAATAAAAGGAAAAAAAACTTACCCCACTGCTTTTCAGACGACCAGTTCTTATCTTTCAAAAGTAATCAAAAACACAAACAAACAAAAGATTTTTTAAAAAAAGATAATGAGTCATGAGACAGAGTTGACTAATCCCAAACGATAAAAAAAAAAAAAAAAATCAATATTCAGCTCATAGAAAATATAAATATAATTCTTAAAGAACAATAATTTATATTGTGTGAACTTTAAATTCATCGCTTTCAATTTTTTTAGTTATGTATAAATGTATATTTTATAAAATTCTAAAAAAAAAGCACACAAATATTTAAAATACAATAATATTTTTCACGTAAGAAATATATATACAGTATTTTTAAAATAAATGTAGATGTGATATATATATTATAAGAAATAAACAAAATAATAATGAATTTTAATTTAAAAACTCTTATGTGTGCGAGTGATAATCAAAATTATAAGGGAAATAAGTTTTAAAACTTTCAAATACAATTTTTATAATAAAATTTATATTTTAAAATGTTTTATTATACATATATTGAAAACAAAATATAAACATTTATATTATAAATGGCGAAGAAATGCAATAAAAAATATAAACAAAAGTTTATTATAAAATTAAAGAAATGTCAAAATAAAAAATACCAAAATATATTTTAGTTAGAATTATCAGGAACATATATCAAGAGAGAGAAAAAAAAATGAAGAAATGTATTGCAAAATATAAAGTCTTTTTGAAAATAGAGCAATCCATAAATAAATCTTTAATTTAAAAGGCATATATTGGATCAAATAAATGATATTTTGATCCAATATATGCCTTTTAAATTAAAGATTTATTTATGGATTGCTCTATTTTCAAAAAGACTCTATAAATGATAAAATGATATATAGGTTTTTAACTTTTAATTAGACATTTAAAATTTAGATTTAGACATTTTTCATTTTAATTTAGACACATGGACTTTATATAGTAAAGTCCATGTGTCTAAATTAAAATGAAAAATGTCTAAATATAAATTAATATTGTCTAATTAAAAGTTAAAAACCTATATAAAGGCATATATTGAATTAAAATAATATATAAATGATATAATGATATAGAAAGGCATATATTGGATCAAAATGATTTATAAAGGCATATATAATCCAATATATGCCTTTATATATCATTTTATATCATTATATCATTTATATATCATTTTAATACAATATATGCCTTTTTAATTAATATATATATGTTTGAAAATAGAGCAATCCATATATTATATTATTTAAAAATGCCTATTTTGAATCATAAAGTTTTATTTCCGATATTTCGTGTGGCAACTCGCCAAACTTTTTCGGGAACAAGATTGCTTTGATAAGCTCGCGTATCAATTCACGAGTATGTACAACTGCTATATTTCATATATATATATATATATATATATATGAAAAAACGAAAGAAAAAAAGAAGATAATAAGATCAGGTGTTGAAATCAAAAATAAAAATGGCATATCCTGACCAGGAGCACATGTGCTTTACAGAAGGCAGAGCGCCATCTGGTGGAACAGAAATCAACTAAACATTGATTTAGCCTGTTCCATGATATTTGGCCAACCATCCACGAACGCGTTCGCGCTTTTTGGCGCTCGTCAGCGTGGAGTAGGATGTACCACTGCGACCAAAAGGATTTTTTGGTCCCAGTAGCTTCTTGAAAAACCAAGAAATGGGTATTTAAGGCCAAATTTTTATTTCAACACCTGATCTTTTTATCTTTTATTTTTTTCTTTCGTTTTTCATGTGTTAAGCGTATTTACGCAAGTTTGGCCTTAAATACCCATTTTTTGGTTTTCCAAGAAGCTACTGGGACCAAAAAATCTTTTTGTCGCAGTGGTACAGCCTACTCCACGCTGACGAGCGCCAAAAAGCGCGAAACACGTTCGTGGATGACTTTTCTTGATTTATAAAGAAATTGGGTTGGCCAAATATCAGGGAACAGGCTAAATCAATGTTTAGTTGATTTCTGTTCCACCAGATGGCGCTCTGCCTTCTGTAAAGCACATGTGCTCCTGGTCTGGATATGCCAGTTTTTTTTCGATATATATATATATATATCAAAAATAAAACTGGCATATCCAGACCAGGAATTGAGAAATTTGTCCAATAATATTTATTAAACGACGCATTGCTAATCTAAATGGTAATATATTAAGTCAACTATTTCTATCCATTCTATAAACCTAGTTACAACCATTCGTTGTGTCCCAGGATTCTATCCATCACATCTTACACCATATAACCATGTAAAAACCTTGTAACCTTTGAGTAAAATTAATCAGGTCTCCAGAAAACCAAGTTGTCACCTGTAGAAGGACATCCGTACCCGAAAGCTAGAGAATAAAAATGTTTTGAAAAGATACTTTTCCCTGGAGGCCTGGTTAAGTTTACTCAATATTGATACAAGGTTATATAAAAGGGCGTAAAGAAAAAATTTATCTGTAAAGAAAAAACAAAACAATTTTTTTTTCTCAAAATATTTCGAGAGATTGCTCCCTCTTTATCAATTTATTGCATAGTTTCTTGATAAAGAGGGAACAATCTCTCGAAATATTTTGAGAAAAAAAAATTGTTTTGTTTTTTTCTTTACATATCCAGGTACGCCCTTTTATATAATCTTAATTAATGGATCGTCTTTTGACTCAAATTGATACAAGGGATTATTTTATTGTATATATAACCTTTAATTAAAAAGTCATATATTGTATCAAAATATAATTTATTTACCAATATTTCAGAAATACAGTAGAACTACCTCCCTGTAAAGGACAACACCTAATTGTAGAGCCAAAGTGTCCTTTAAGGAGAAGTGTCCTCTTACCGGAAAGTTGCTAAATAGTAAAAATGGTAATTTTGCAAATGAAAACTGTCCTATGTAGAGAGGTGTTCGCTAAAGGGAGGTTCTACTGTATGAGTAAATATATTATATTTGATTCAATATATTCTATTTTAATTAAAGATATATTTCTGGATTTCTATATTATCAAAATACAACAACAACAAAAACCTTCATTAAAACATTATTGTCTTACAAGGGGATTCTCCATAAAGGTTATATATGTACATGAGTGAGGAGGAAAAGGCAATTTAGAGGGGAGGGGGAGCAAACAGCCGTTGTCTGTGGAGTTGAGCACTTCTTCCCTCATTTTATCAATCGCCTTGAAAAAATTTAAATATTTATAAACAAATGTTTTATCCAGCAGGAGAGTAGTAAAACTTTTATATACATGTTGTTCATTATAGTGAGTTAGCCCCGAAATTTCGCGAATTTCCAGTCTTTTTTCCTGTAGAAATGAGCAATGGAATAGATAATGAACCAAATTGTCTTGGATGACAGCATTGCAGAAGTAGCAATTTGAAGGGTCGTTGTTCCAAAATCCCGTGATATCCTCGGGGGAAAATAGCCATAGAATCCTTTGACGGGTTATAAGTCATTTAATTTTCAAAGGGAGTATTTTCAAAATAAATAACCTAGTATTTTTTATTTTATTTATTTATTTCAACTCAAAACGCTATGTCCCCCTAGGGACACTTGCGCTAAATGTACATACAAATATAACAAAGAAAATATTCAACATGGAAAGATACACAGAAAGCGACTTAGAAAGATTCAAAAATATTATTTACATATAGAGATATTCTTAGAATTTTATTTACAGTTACATCATTAAATTTAAAAATATATACACACATATACACATAGTATCATAAACCTTTATAGATAATTACAGTAAGACAGGTGGTAAAGTGTGGAGTTTGTATAAAACGAATGGTGAACGCGGGGGAAACGCTGTTGTTTGGTTGATAAAGGCCATGCAAATAGAGAAAGAAAAAGAGAATGAGGGAGTTTATTGTGTTGATTGGATTTTAAAGGTTTCCACTTCGCATTTATTCTTTGAGAACATACATATCACTTTGAAGGTTAATAAAGATAGGCACCTTTTTGTAATAATAAAATTATTGCGACATTTTAATATTTTTGCTACGTCATTTAAAAAAAATCTTTGTCATGCTTTGTTTTGATTACAATTATTACTTTGTCTACCTGTGTATAACTAGACCTACTTTTGTATATAACCTCTATAGAGGTATATATAAGATATTATATCCAAATTATTTTATAACCGCTATCACAATATACATTCATGGAAAAAATTCAAGGAAGTTGTATCTTTTAGCATGTATATCGGGATTCAGACAATAACTCTGAAAGATACACT